GTCGTTTCCGCGTCGAGTTCCGCGCGCGGAAAAGCGCGAGGACAGATGCACGCGCAACGAGCAACGCGCCCGCGCCGCGCGTCGGCGAGAGAAACGCTTTCGCGGAATTTGTAATTGCCCGACGACACTGGCACCATTAGACGGCTGTTAAACACATAGGCGCGGAATCGCCCAGCGTGTGCATTTAACCCCGGCGTATACGGCTGATACATACGTTGAAGCGGCGGGTTGCATAACTTTTCAAGGTAAAACTCCCCCACCGTCAACGAGACAATCGCGTCTCACTACCGTTGCAGTTGCAGCTGCTGACCACCCGTCGGCGGTGCCGGTGGTCAATTAGTATCACTGTTAATTCAATCTCTGCCTCGCCTATGGTAGATCCGGTCGACCGACGGATCGATGGGGCGCCCATCCGAAGCACCGAGCGCATCAAAAGTCGCGTCGTGTCGCGTTTCTCTCTCGTCTATGGCGAAATCGGCATTGGTTTTGCTTTAGCGAAACGCTATTTTGTACAGATGTCAACTTTTCGACTTTTAATATCATGTTACACACACATACTATATATTATTCATATTACATATTATGTCAATATTATTATATTATATATTGCATATTTTACCTATTTCAGTTAGAACTTCGTTAAAATATAAATTAAATAACAAAAATTATTGTATTAAATATATTAAAACACCCAAAAGTAATAGATAATGTAATATAGCGGGGGTGTACATTCCTATTTGATACATAAGAAAAAATGATTGATTGCAATAAAGTTCAATTTCTTAGAGCAACGAACGCGAATATCGAGAGAGAGTCGTTCTAGAGATTATTATTGGAAACATCCTTTCATGGAGGACTTTCATTCGAAAAATAAAAGCAAATCCCCCGAGCGTGATCAGCGGCGAGCGGAACGCAAAAAGATCCGTTCGATAGCGCGGGCTCGTGCGCGAGTGAAAATTCGATTTACATAGAAAGGATGACGTGGAAAAGCGCATTAAGTTCGCGCGGGTTTCTTCGCGAGTCCATTAGCCGAGGATCTATGGTCCATACTAATCGGCGCGGAATGACTGTGACTTTAACGAGGTAAACTCTATTTTTCCGGCGGATGCGGTCAATTAGAAAATGGCTGGTCGCACTTTCTCCCGGGTTCCTGTGACGCCTTCGGCGTTATTTAGAGAAAAAATCTTGTGGGTCGTGACCCACATGGTCAACCATCGCGAAAGCTTTAACCCTTCCGCTCGTCGCAAGAAATTTTCGCTTGAGATATAACGCACTTCCACTTATTTCGTGCTACTTTTGTCGAATATTCACTTCTCGTGAGTTTAATTGCTACTATTGCTAGAAGATTGAGAAGCATTGCCACTTCACAACAGTTTCATATATCTCTTTATCTAATGCTTATATCTTACGTTCGACCTAATTTTATTCGGATCATTAATGTTATTCGATACCTGTGTTCATTAGGATTCTCAGCATTTCGATACGCAACAATGTTCTCTTGTTCTTTTCGCTCTACATCTGCCTTTAAATATAATGCGCGTGTTATCCCACAGCGCTTACGCCGGTAATACATTGTGGGTACAATGCCCAGGTAACAAGCGAAAAGAAACCAGCGTCTAATATTCCCATACCAAACGTAAAATGTTCTATTGTATACATTACGTGCACAGGATACACCGACGGAAAATTTTCCGCTTCCGGACAATGATGAATCGCGTCTGACGAGTGAGAGAAGATCGTACGTATATAAATCGATCGTAGCGTCGTTGATAACGGAAACAAGATTTATGAGATTATCTAAAGGAAAACGCTGCTATGCATTGCTCTTTTTATGTGTATCTGAATGCTTGCCGCTTTAATGTAAATCTTGATTCTCATGACACAATGCACCTATAATACAATGTGCTAATTGATGAACATGATTTGAAATTGTCACACGCAGGCTATGCACTTTAATTTAAATAGATTCAATCCCCTGAAATGTATAATTGCAATATAAAGTAAATTGTTAAAATCGATATAATGTTGCATAGAAATTAGTAATTACCTAGCATATGTCTCCTACTATAAATATGTAAAATGTGGCTGTATCTTCAAAAATATTACTTTGTTTCAGGAAAGATAAACATTTCTCGGAGATAAACGCGAAATGTCTCTCGATAACGCACGTATCTTTAAGATAAAAACTGTGGAAAACTTTTACCTAGATTTACAGAATTTCCTCTTGTAGTCAGATTCCATTCGTCTTTTATCACGAGTATGTCGTCGGCACTTACACACAAACGTACGCAAATAGCATTAGAGATAGTTTCGACTTTGACGAAGGCACGGTCGGAGCAAGTTGTCAGATTTCAGGATCTTCGTATCCTCGAGTGCATTTTCAACTTCGGTCGTTCGACACGCTTTCGATATTTTTCTTCGATGTTTTCCTACCTAAGATCATCTCGAAGAGATAAAGCACGATTGAATTTTTGAAAAAAAGTCACGTCGCGCTCGATTTCAAGTCTCTCGACGTGATTTCTCGAGCGCTTCACATTTGTATCGATTTTCGTTGACTTTTGACACGAGTTTGCCGTATCGGAGACTTTCGGTTGCTGATAACCCGCAAATCTTTCAAGGAAATAACGGCGCCTAGCGCTTCATATTTTTTGAGCCTACCCGTCGAAAAAAAGCGGCGAATCGATAGCCTTTGCTCGAGACGGGATCTTTGTTGCGTCATTGCGTCAAAGCCGACATTCGCTGCTGTTCCGAAAAGTCAAAATAACACGATAAGATCGCGCAGTGTTCCCAATTTAGCTGCAAGCGTGCCGCATTCCTCAGCAATCTTGCGCGAACAATTAAAAAAAAAGGACTCGCTCGCGAGTTGCATCGTCGTTTTCTTGCAAACGTGTGCATTATGCACCGCTGCAATTTACGTTACAAATTACGATGTACTCTTTAAATAAAATGCAGAAATGCACACGCATGGTAAATGACGGATCTTAAAACGGTTGATAAAATTCGTTCGAAATTTGAAAGCGAGAAGGTTTTAAAAGCCCGAATTCAGGTATTGTTATTCATCACCCCGAAGATAAGATTTCCTCCGGTGTGTGTATTATCATCTGTAGGATGTATTTTTCGATTCAAAGGATGTATTCCAGTTGGAAGCAAGGGACTGATCGCCCGTGACTTTTGAGACACGTTGTAGCGAATGGCACGGCCTTTGGTGCCCCCGGCCCCGGAGGGCAACCGGCGCACGAGACGGCCTTGTAAAAACTGATACTGTTACTTCCGAGATGCTCGGGCGACTCTCCCAGCAGCTTACGTCTAATTGCATTCGCGAGGAAACGGGGTGAGAAACGAGTCATTATCTTTTAACCGGAGGAGCATGCTGTTTAACGTCGCGGACGGCTAATTGTCGCTGGATTTATTGTCGACAGCGCGCCGTTATCAGCATTGGGCGGCTACGCGTGCGTAATTATGATAAATATATTGCCACTCAAATCGGTCCATTTAAAGTGAATGAAATTAATGGCGCAAGTAGCGCGCGGGTGGAACGCGCGTCAAAGTCTGCATCAATCTCTAGCGTCACAATAAAATAAATATAAATAAATTTGTAATACGTATTATCTAAATATACCTAGAATTAAATAATACCTAAATATCTTAGTATACATATAAATAAAATATGAAAAATTTCATAGATCCATCCCCTCGAAATACAACCACCTGTTGACCGGATGCTTAAATATATCTAATTTAAATCTCTAACTACAGTTTACGAGTAATGTAAATAGATGGACAATGAAAACGCAATGATCGCAAACATAAATATCTCGTGCCGTTGTGTGATTACAGAAAGAGTCCCGATTTCTCCGTGTCCGACTGTGCAGGTCTGCCATTGTTTAGCCGTTAATAGAGACCTCGACTTCTATATAGAGCGATAGTTTCTATACGCGGAACTGGCGTTTAATGCCCATCACGGAGAAGAGCTCCGAGGAGCGAGCGAGGAGGGTAAGACCTTTAATGGCGCGGCGAAGAAACTCGCGACGACCGGCCGAGAGACGAAGATCGATCCCGGTCTCGAGGCGGCGGCTCTCGACCGTGTTGCACGACGTAAGAAAGTAATCGACGAAACGGCGAGACGCCCCGTAAAGGAAAAGTGGAGCGCCCGCCCGTAATTTGCGGATTTCACTGAAAAGCCAGCCGCCGCGCCGCGCTGAGCGAAGTCCGTCTCTCGTTACGATTTCGTTCCTCGCGGATCCCTCGCTGCCGCCTCGCGGCTCGCACACGATCGCTCGTGCGATCGGTCTCGCGCGCGAACGTAAGAAAGTGATTCTATTCGCGTCTGATCGCGGCGGCGCGCGCGCGTTTTCACTCGCGCGGAGAACGGAGTAACCCATTTTATATACTATATCTACGTTCTCCAAGTCCGGCCGAGGTTTTCCGAGAGCGATTTCGCGAGAGCGAGCGGACAATTAGCCGTTAATTATAAAATCTCTTACCGTGAGATTAGGTCGCTATTAGTTTGGTTACGGACGAAGGGACCTACGGTGTCTCGCACGTTCGCGCAATTCGTGTCGATGACTTTTGACTTTCGAAACGGCACACGATGGGAGCTACGCCTCCGTAATTAAATCTAATCAAGAGGATTTCGCACGTGCGAATGACGTCCGTCCGACTATCTCGCGCTGTAGCGCGAACAAGCCGGATGTCGATAACTCCGACGTAACCCACGGCGTCGGTGGAACAATAATCTTTTAACATCGGTTTCACGGCTCTGCATACAATGACAAATTTTTCGCAGCCATTCATATTACATAAAATAATGATCTCGCGTATTTATACATGTACAAAGAATAATGTAACTATTGTTATTCATATCATGAATAATCGGTTTTTTTACGAAAGCTAATTAAAAATAAATTCCTATCATTTACATCGAAGACATTCGCGGTATTAAATGTCGCTCGTTAATCAAGTATTATTAGGTCGAGTCGCCGTTTGCAAAAGTCGCTCACCTGTTGCTCTTGCTCGTGCGAACGACTCACTGACATTCAACGAGGTCGCCCGGGACACATTCCCAAACCTCGCGCAGGAAATCGAGCTGGGAAACTACAGCGGAGAGACGACTCGGAGTCGGAGATGCCACGGAACAATACAACCCGACTGACGCGACGGCTCGCGACGGACTGGAGTGAGCGCACGAGCGCACGTCGCCGGGTGAACGCGGAGGAGAGCAGGAGAGCGCGACAAGAGGTGCCGAGCACGGACGAACGCAAACGAACGCGGCCGATCGTCGAGCACAGCTGGTCGTGGGAGTCGAATCGCCCGCGCGCCGCTAGGTAGATTATTCGGTGAAACGGAGGCTGATATTGGGTGGTGGTACCAGCCACGGTCGGGCTACGGCCCGTCCTCATCATCCACCTATTCCCCGCAATCCGTTCGTTATCTCCTCGCATGGAAAAGAAGAAGAATTTCAAACAAGCGGGAGATTGAGCGATTACTCGCGGGGGGGGGGGACGCTCCGTGCTCCTTCTACGCCGGTAATGAAATTTCCATCTCTGATGAGAGATGAGAGATGATGGAGGAAACGGTACGACGCGAGATAGGAGAAGAGAGAGAGAAAAAGCGGATCGCGTAGAAATTCGTATCTCCGGGATAAGCGAGAACAAGAAAGAGAGAGATCGCGAGGGACTGGTCGGTCGAGAGCTGTCGCGCCGGGTCTCTTCGCAGAATGGAGTAGCGAGCGCGATCGTTGATGGTAGATGATCCGATAGAATGAGAAGGGATAGGAGAGGATGGCGGTACCAGCCACGGCCGGGGCCGCCGCGCCGAGAGCCTGTCCGTCCTCCATCGCGGGCTACAGCAGGTTGTTACAGGGAGAAGGAAGAGGAGGAGGCGAGGGGCAGAGAGCGAAGAAAGACAGAGACAGAGTGAGAAAGACCAAGACGCGTATTCTTACGAGATCCATCTCTGTCCCTTCGCGCTAAATAGATAAGAGGATAACCGGCGCCGCGCGACGTGATCGTCTCGGAACAATTGGCCGACGATAGTTACACTCCATTTTCTATTCATAGCTCGTCGGTGCGAATTGTTACGCGAGGCCGTGCGCGGACTGAAACCTTTAGCACGTAATCTCGACGAATTCAATTCCCGGCCGCGCTGTACGCGGGAGAATGAACCGTGCGCCAATTGACGCGAATAAACATAGCCGTCACTTTCGCGTCATCGGAGTCTGGACTCTCGTGTCCGCGGACCCGGAGTGCACGTTGCTCCCGATTCCTGCGAGGGCGATCACGGTTTTTTACAACCGGATCACGCGCCACGGCAATTAAATGTGAATTCCCCCCCCCCCCCCGTAGCGACTAATAAAATATTTCTGTCTAGCTAAAGCTCTCCCGCTCTCTTTCTCTCTCTTCGAGATCCGCGCAAAAATCCGCGAGTGTCCTTCCCGATAATTTTACAGAAGCCTAGAAGTGAAATTCAGGGCGAGGCTTCGCGACAGGATGCACGCGCACTTCTACGCCGTATATAAACGCGCGAAACATTCGCAACGAGTGACCCCGTGTACACACGAGCAGACACACACACACACACGCCGGTGTCTCTCCTTTATGAGCGCACGCTATCAGCGAGCGCGCATTCAACTACCGTTTGTGAGAAAATAATGCCGAATTACGAAATCACGGTGGCCGTTCCGCATATACGACGCAAAAGGTGCGTGACCGCGTAAACGCGAGATCAATAAATCATTCTTTTTTTTTCTTCCACATTTTTCCGCCTCTCTTGTTTTCCTCTTTTCGTCGTTTTACTTCGGAAAACCCACGACCACAAATCATTAAGGATAAAGGAATATTACGAGATTTTTAATGAGATTTGCTAAGCGAGCGGTAAAATACTTGGCTATAAATATCCTTCGGTAACTTTCAATTTCATCCGTTACCCCTGAATAATTAGCATTGATTTAAAAACATTCTTTAAACATCTTAAGAATTTCTCGGAAGTCTCGAAACTCCTGTTTATTTTCGCAATAATAATATTCTTCAAATTCGAGTGACCACATACCGTGAAAAAATTTCGTGCTTCAATTTTAGGAATATGCAATCGCAAAAGTTTCTCTTCAATCACATCAATTATTTCCGATGACCGACTAAAAATTGCGTTTCGTCGATTTCGTCGCTGTAAAAACAAAGTGATTTCATATCCGCGCTCGCGAAACCAGCTTCGTGAATTTCGCCGAGTGTTGCGGAAAGATTCGGGATTTTCGTGCGTCATTCGCGCGACGCAACGAAACGCGATAATTCCTAACAAAACACCGTGTTATGGCGTTTTGCGCCACTCGGCCGAGTGCGTCGATACGACGGGTGTATTAAAACGCGGACAGGTTTCAGGTGTGATTCAGCGTCCAAGCGGAAAACCGGTTTTTTGTCTTTTTTTTTCTCTCCCCGCGCGCCGCTCGTCGCCTCATTATACAATCAAATGAAAGGTTTAGTTGCACAATTATTGTTTTGGTTCCTCATTTCCGTTTCGGCCGATATCCGCGAGACGACTTTCGTAGCGGCATGATTTCTCACGATTCTAGATCTGCGTGATTTTCACGCGTTTCGTCGATCTTTTTGGAACTTTCTCGAGTTTCGGTTTCACCGGCAGCGGCGGCAGCGGCAACGGTCACCTCGGACAATGCTCAATCGCTACTAGTAACCGCCTCGGACGGTAGCCACGCGCGAAAGTAGGGAAAGTATCTCTCGATTCGCACGCATGTCCGACATACATATCGCTGATGAAAGAAAAAGAACTCGGAGCCGTCATCGCCTCAGCGATATGCGCTCGCGATCGATTGCGATTCACGCGGGATAAAACTAGAGAGAAGTATTTTAAAACTGCAACCCTACCACGCTGTAAATTGATCTTTGCGAGCCGACAAGCCTCCTCGCGAGTTTCCGCGAAATCAACATCTCTCGCGCGGAGATCTCGATCGCGAGGCATTGTGTACGCGATCGCGCGGTAACGGGACGACGATTATACACATATGCGCGTACACACGTGTGCACATTCACTTTACATAATAACGGTCGGCCGGGTGCTTAGCGTAAAAATGAATGCGCGTCGGTGACTCGTGGTCTCTATTACGTGAGAAATAATTATAACGCATAATTCGACTGGAATTCGCGCGATTGATCAAAGCGAATCAGCCTGACGGCCGCGATACGCCCTCGAGAGAGAGCGCGCGTAAAAGGTCCGCTGGAAAACGCATTCGTGCGTTTGCACGCGCGCATGTACGCCCACTTGATAAACGCCGAGGCGAAATCGTATCTCTCGAATAATTCACTGTAATAGGAAACGCGAGGTGGCCGCGCAGAGATATGCACGGAAATCGCGCGATATCGGTGCAGCCGAGACGGACGCACGAGCGCGTTTTTCCCCCGAGACTTCTCTTCTCCTGGCGCTTCGATTTGCACTTTCATTTTTCGTAATGACGCTCGCGTAAAATGCGCGGATCGCGCACATGGGCGTGAAATCGCGATCTTCAGCCGCGTAATCGTCGCGAGCGCGCCAAGCGTGGTACGGAACCGTAAACACCTGAAATAATTGTATCACTTTAAACTTTCCAGGATGCCAGATATAAATCGATTAAATTGTGCAGATTTTCTAATAATTACGTAATTGAGATATTTCAAGTATCTCGAGGTATTCGGTATGTTTCAGATATTTAAATACACTCACAGAATACACACTTTTCTTTTTCGCCTTTCAACTTGCAACACTGGTAACGAATCTGTTGATCCATTTTATCACGCTCGACTTAACGTACCTTTCGTGTGACATTCGAGATTATTTCAACAACGGCGGAAAGTCGAGTTGCCAAATTATTCAGTATCGTGTTGCTCGAAAAATTGTTTGCGATGCAGTAACACCGCGATAACGTATTGTTGCGATATGAAAGATATACATGTTATGTAATCTAAGATCACGGTATATAATAGCGCATCACGATCGATGAAACACACGTGGCAGATGATTCTTTTTAAACAGGCGATGTGCCTCGAGCAAGAATGAACTCGACTCTAAGCTAAGATTTCTGAGGATTTCTCCATTCATTAAATTTGATTGATAAATGTTTCCTAGTCTGAAAAATTTCCTAATCAATTAAGGAAAGAACATTATTATTGTTAAGTAATAATTCGAAATTATTGACGCAACACGAAGCGCAAACGACTTTTATATCATCGAACATGACGTAGACGGTGATCCCGGAAGCAGCAGGCAGAAAGAAGTTGAGGGAATGGAATTGATGGATTCGAGGTATGTAATTTCCGCGTCGACAATGCGCGAACAAAGATTATCGGGAAAAGACGAGCTTCCGCGACGACAATTTTCCAACTTTAATCACGTCCTCGCTCATCCGCATACGACCCTGAAAATCCCGCAAACGCGAAAAGAATTTATTCCAAGGCGAAAATTCGTATACGAATATGGAAAAACGTCGTATTCAAAATGTATATAGTTTTGAAAGCTTTTTGGATGTATTTATTTTCTTAAATTCTTACTGACAGTGACAATAAGATTTTACAGAGAAAAAAAATTAACGGTCCGACTCTCTCGGACAAGTTAAGAGCTTTACTTAGTCATGAAACATCGGAATCGAAGCAAGCCTGGCGACAAGAGCATATAAAATTATCGTGGAATGCAGTTCACGTGCATTCGAACAAGCCTCGCCAGCGACGCACGCATGTGCGTACACGCATCTCCTATGTGCAGAACGCGTGTAGACACAGATTCGTTCTGTGTCTCGGGAATATGTGGCTAAAGAAACCGATAGTCACGCTGCAATTATCGACTTCCTATTCGGCGTACCTCACGTCTCATTCTTTAATTCCCCGCCTCGTAATGTAATATGTTAAGTGCGTCGTGCAGTGCCTATTCTTTCTATTCTTTCTATCTATAATTGCATTTAGTAATCAAGTCGTTATATTAAAGTCAATTTGTCATTCCATTAGTTATGGATGTATTACCAGGAATACATCCTTATACTTGCAAATCGCGCATACGCGCTTTTGTAGTAACCGCCTTATCAGGATTTTGCGCGTTTAATTTGTATAAAATATGCGCAATAATTACAGATATATATATATAGACTAATGGTTTAATATCTTTTCACGTTCTACTATATTTTTTTTATTATTTCTTGCGTGTACGATAAGCGAATCGTGCAC